ACTATAACCCCTCAATATAATCCTCATAATATAAATAATAATAATAATATATATAAATATAAATATAAATATAAATATAAACAATATTATATTGTTATGTTTAACCTGAGATACATGCATACAAAATACAAACAAATACACACAAAAGTTTTTGACTTAAAGGGCCTAAGGAGACAGCGCTGCGTGCCCCCGCCCCCTGCTGCAGCAGCAGACACCAGCAGCAGCAGCAGCAGCAGCAGCAGTAGCAGCAGCAGCAGCAGCAGCAGCGGGGGAGGGAACGGGGGAGATGCTGCAGCGGCAGCAGCAGGTCGTAGCAGAAAGGGGGGGGATACAGCAGCAGCAGCAGCAGCAGCAGCAGCAGCAGCAGCAGCGGAAGAAGAAGAAGAGAAGGAAGAAGAGGAAGCAGAAGCAGCAGCAGCAGCAGCAGAAGCAGCAGCAGAAGAAGCAGCTAACAGATCTGATGCTGCTGTTATGGGGGCAGCCCCAAGAAGTAAGGAGAGACAATGCTTTGCTGCTGCTGCTGCTGCTGCTGCTGCTGCTGTTGCTGCTGCTGTTGCTGCTGTTGCTGCTGCTGCTGCTGCTGCTGTTGTTGTTTTTTTCTTTGTCTTTGAGTTTCTAGCATGTTTATGTCTGTGTCTCTTTGTCTTTGTCTCTTTCTTCTTTCTGTCTCCTTTTTTCTATCTGTCTCCTTTTTTTTATTTGTGTGTTTATGTATCTCTCTCTATTTCTTTTCTCTTTATTCTGTGTCTCCCTTTCTCTCCCTCAGCTGCAGCAGCAGCAGCAGCAGCAGAAGCAGCAGCAGCAGAAGAAGAAGCAGATGCAGACACAGGAACAGCAGCAGCAGCAAGCCCACCATCACCAGCAGCACCAGCAGCAGCAGCAGCACCAGCAGCAGCAGCACCAGCAGCACCAGCAGCACCAGCAGCAGCAGCAGCAGCAGCAGCAGCAGCAGCAGCAGCAGCAGCAGGAGGAACAGAGCTGCATGCACAGCTAGAGGAGAATGCAGTGTTATGGGATATGAATTTGTTAGAGTATTTACGGGGCTGCAGTATATACATGCATGCAAAAGAATATAAATGTATAGAGAGAAGTTTATATAGAGACCTAAATATATTAAATAAACTAGAGATAGTTGATTACTCTCTTCTCCTTATTATAAATAAAAATAAAAATATAATTTTTTTAGGTTTAATAGATTACTTTACGCGATACAGCTGGCACAAACAAATAGAAAAAATAGGAAAAAGTTTAGTTTATATTACTACAGGGGCGGAGACAACCGTGCTGCCCCCAAAAGAATATAAATATAGATTTATTTTTAATGTTTTGCCTTTCTTCTCTCCTTCTCTTCCTCTTCTCTCTATGCAGCAACCAGCTGCTCTGCTCCGAGCTGTACATACACTCCAGCAGCAACACACAAATACATACGGTGGGTGTTGTCAGGCTGCTGCTGCTGCTGCTGCTGCTGCTGCTGCTGCAGCAGACACACCAGCAGCAGCAGCAGCTGCAGCAGAAGGAGCAATAGAAGCAACACAAGCAGAAACAACAGAAGCAAAAGCAGCAGCAGCAACAGAAGCAGCAGCAGCAGCAGCAGCAGCAGCAGGGCCATTGTCTCTTCAGGGGCCCCTATCAACTGTCTCCTCAGCTTCTTCTCCTGGGGGCCCCCCGTATACTGTCTCCTTGGGGGCCCCCGGGGGGGCCCCCAGGGGGGCCCCCAGGGGGGGGCCCCCACCCTCTTTTGCTGCTTGTCTTGCTGCTGTTGTTAGAGAGCAGCAGCAGCGCGATGCAGCAGCAGCAGCAGGGGGGCCCCCTACATCTGCTGCAGCTGCAGATACACCCCAAAGAAAATA